AAATAGCCCATGCCGAGTAATAGGCTCTTGGTGGTTTTCTGTTTGTCTAGTGCTAGTATTTTAGTTTTTAAGTTTCTTAGAGTAAAACTGTAGTTTTTAGAGATAGTTTTGTAATGCGCCTTGGGCAAATAATGGATGTGTGCGCTATATAAATGAACTATTATTATTATTATTATTATTATTATTATTATTATTATTATTATCATTAGTACTATTATTATTAGTATCATTTCAAAAGTACTCAATAAAGTTTGTTTTTCATCAGAATTTTAGTCTACGACAGTGGAATCTGTGAAGATTTGTAAATAGGTTTTCTGAAAAGTTTTTATAAAAATTCTTGTTTTATTATTTTTAATAAAGTTTGTTTTTATTATTATTATTATTATCATCATCATCATCATCATTATTATTATTGCTATTATTACTATTATTATTATTATTATTATTGTTATTATTATTACTGTTATACGGCGTAGTCGTTGATTTGATTAAGCTCAGTTTTTTCTAACTTTGTTAAAGTTTTAACATTAATTTTTTGTCGTCTTTTTCAGTCTACAGTCAAGAAAAAACTTTTTCCTGTATAAGTTTAGCGCTGAAATGTTATAGCCATGATCCCAGTAGTTGTTGTTGTTGTTTTCAGCGTTTATCGTGTGAAAGAAGCTGCTGGTCTACTCGTTTCAAAGCTGATTAGGGGCAAAGACAAAAACAAACAGTAACAACAACAACAACAACAACAACAACAACAACAATCGAAAACAGAAAAAGTAGATAATGAATGATAATCAACCTCATAGCGTAATTCAAGGTGTACAAACTGGGGTTGGTAAGGTTGAAAATGAATGGATGTTGTCTAAGTCGTTCTTAGTTTTTCGTCACTTTCACAGCAACCTCCTTATTCAAACTTCCTCAGTATTTCTTCTTCCACTTGTTTTTCCAAATCACTCCCCCCTCTAATCTCAATCAATTCAAGGCCCTAACTTCATTCTGCCATACTTTCGGTTCTCAACTTCACTCTTCTATCTCCTGTGGGCAAAACCGAAAGCGAGGGTGTCGAGTGAATGGGGACGTCTCAAAACTATCTTTCCTTCGGAGTTTTGCGGAGAAAACGCTGGTTATCGATATCACGGGAAGACCAACTAACAACTGGTTACTCGAATAAAAATA